CCATAGCCAACACCACTAGGTTGTTGGCAGAGCGCGGTGTCATGCTATACGCTGCACAGACTGGCTCAATTAAATAGGGACAATTGTTGTACTTCTTTTGAAAAATAAACAAAGTAAATACATACTAAATAATACAACCTATTGACATTGTAATCTACAAATATACCTGTCATCATCAATCATTAATTCTGAAAGTAAATTAAATCCATTGATCTCCAAATTTGTTTGTTAGTAGTTTCTTTTGTCGATAAAATACATTTTAGCTGAGTATCGAGACCAAAGGAATCACAATATATAGCTCATGCCCACATTTTTAAGCTTATAAATTATTTGTCTGTTGATTAAAGAGCTAAGAACTATGACCATGTGTTGGGTTTTCCAATTAAAAAAAGAAGTAAGACTTGTTCCGAAATCGACTTACACGAATTGGTGCATATAATTTAACACCTCCATTCAATTCGAATGCAAATTTTTAAATATGAGCCCTCTAATATTGACAATATAATAATAATAATATAATATATGAATTAGTCTTAAAAGGTTATACTATATCATATATGACTGAACTACGTAATCATGGTTTGAATATCACATCTAAACTATTATTTCAAAAAGATATTCCAAATAATTGGGTTTTTTATATATTATTGCGAAAAAAGTTTTGATAAACTATTGAATTGCTATTAAAAAAGAATTAGAATTGATAAAAAATATATAGAACACTTTCCTTGTTAGTTTTGACTCAGATTCAGTAATTGGTTTAGGTTTAAATTTAATTATAATTTAGTAGTTGGTTAATAAAAGATTACAAAAAAACGGTGTCTTTGTAAATATAAATATATAAATTTAAGAACAAATCAGAAAAAATTTGAATCAATTATGGACTAATTACTTATAAAATGGAATCTCAGCTTCCTTTCAATTCTTTCCATTTCGCTCATTGAATATTAATTACTGCCTCTATTTTAATTAAAAGCGCTGTAGTTTCAAGAACACAAACTCCGATTGGTGTATGTGGTCAAGTGACTAGGGCCCCCATCCCTCTTTGTTGAGTTATAGTTCGCATTTCCGGCGTTGTCATTTCATACTAATCAACATCCGTTGAGCGGAATTTCAAATTTTACTGCATAATTTCGTTTCTGTGCGCGTACTTGCGAGTATGTGTGTGTGTTCAGCAACAACTACATCAGCATGTACAGCCAATTTGGTGGCCCGAGCTTATGCAGTGGCCACTTTTTGATTTGTGTGCGTGCGTGCGGGCTCTCAATGGCCAAAACGTAATATTTTCTATTTCTATTATAGGCATTTGTTACAGCATTTACATTGTAATTACATTGCGAGCGAACGCGCGTAGGCGTGTGTTGTAAGCAGCCAGCATTGCCGCTGCAGTGGCCAACAGTGCGTATAAGTGATGTGCATATAAATTAGATTTGCTTCGCTGCGGCTTTCAATTCGCAAATATAAAAAAATCCACCACATCTAACAATAGGCCCTCGATAAAACAAAACAAAAAATCGTTTTTCAAGCTCACTACTTGCTCGTAATGATGAGGAATGGGTAAAAATATGAAATATTTATTAAAAGGTAGCCCAAAACGAACAAAGACTGTACGAGTTTGAGGTCAAATTAATAATAATTGAATAAATGTATATAAGTAGATTTTGAAATTAAAAATGACTCCAAAAATTAGCTTCTTAAATTTTATTAATTAATTAAAAATGTAGTCAATAATTGTCAGCCTTTTATTAGATTTGTAAAGGGTATTTAATATTTAGGTCGATTCCTTCACAAATTAACCCTAAAACTAGAGATACTTGAAAGTAAAACAGTTCATATGGTATTATGAAGATAGAAAATATACTATAAGGCAAAGAATACAAATAATACACAGATATTGTTGAACTAAAGTTGCGCTAAAGATTAAATCCTCTAAAAACTTACAACTTTCAAAGCCCTGTAGAAAAACTTTTGAAATAAATTTAACACATCTTTATTTTTATAAGAATGCCTGCTTTTTTAGCCAAGCCGATATCATCATTCTGTTACTCACTTTAGGTTGCCTGCAGTTAATTTTTGTCGGCTGCTTCCTCTCCTCTATTATTGCTTGAAGAGAGGTGAAATATTTGATTTTCCTCTTTAGAGTGTCTGCTGTATTATAATGTAAGTATGTATGATCGTACATATAAGTATGTAAATTGAAAATTTATTGCGTGCACATTCATTCGTTCGTTTGCGGCGCTGTTTGCCGTATACACATTACGTATACGCACGGTTGTTAATTTCATATTCATAAATGTGGCCGCCACTCCATGCCACTGACGTTGTGCGCCAAATATTGCATAGTTCTTTAGCGCACTGTGCCACTTTATTATGCATTTGGGCACACGTGTATTAAACGCATGCTCGTATCCTTTTGCGCAAACTGCCCAGGCTCAAGGTCCTTATTGCTCATCCAAGTGCCCAGTAGTTAAAGTAAGCTTTGCCCAACTCGCTCGCTCTCATTCTTTATCCCACCGGCTTGCGCTCTACGAGTACTTCACTCTGCTCTTGCCCTTGGATGGTCATCTTGGCTTTCTAGCCATGCGCTAGCCATAATCCTGCTCATTGGCTTTGAATGCTCTCTGGTGTATTGTTCGCTGTAAGTACTTGCCGGCAATGGAATCGTGTTGTGACAGAGACGCGTTCGCTTGAGTTACTACGGGTAATGAAATTATGAAAGCAAACGTGTGTACAAGTACCACAGCAATGGTGCAATGCGTTGAGTCACAAGAACGAAGCCAAGGGCTTGGAATCCTGCCAGATGGCTATTTATGGCTTTAAGCATTGCTTTCTTTTTAGCATGCTTCATTAAATATGATTCCGCAAAGCTGACTTCTAAAACAAAGCAAAATTCCTTCCAGTTTATACTAATTGCAGAAAAAATATATTTTAAATTTCATGCATTACTATAAAAAACGAGGCATAATTGGTTTTTAAGAAAGTTGCCAGTTAAAATTATTCATTTAATCTGAGACGAATCTGACCACAGAATAAGTATTTAAAAAGTAAAGCTAAGCTTCCATTTTCTGTTTTATTTTAATAATTAATAAATAAATAAATAATACAAACATATTAAATAAATACTATAAGCACAGTTCTTTAAGCAGACCTCTCTTTCCTCGCTTTATCCTTTTGTCTTACTGCGACTTTCCATCTTCTTAGCCCTGTGACGACCAGTTTTTTTTTTCCAGTACAATCCTCATATTTATCGCGGCTTACATCAACCCTAAGCTTACGCATTAGACTGTCTATATGGTCTTTGCAAGTCAAACATATTGAACAATAACTGCCCAACATTCAACCAACTGTGCACTTTTATGGCATGGTTGACAAGTCATTTAGCGATTTGCCGCCATTTTTGCTAACACACCAATAAAAATGGTATTGTGAGCAGAAGTCAACACAGTGCAGTGTAAACAAGCCAACAAATTAACTATCTTACATATTATTATATTATTATATTATATTATAACTGCGCACATTTGCACTTTTGCGAGGCAATCGAGGCGACGAGTTGAACGACATCGCAAACTAAAAATCAACAGAAAAGTCAAACAGCCAGACAGGCCAGAAGGCTTAAATCAGGCGCAGTCAGTCAACCAGTCAGGCAGTCAACTTTGATGGATAAAGATAAATATTCCATCTTACAAAAAGCGAGCTTGTGATACCCTTAAACCGCTTCGTTTGAAACTTATTGCATTCTTTAACAAGAATATACCTTTAGAGCGCAAAATTTATTGAGCAAGGCAAATATACATGTTTTAAAATATCAATTTAACTCTAACAAATATTTATTTATGTTGTCTCTTTGCTTTCAATCAAGGTTTACTCTGATTATTGATATTACAAATATTTCAAATGGAGAGAAACTAATTTAAAGGAATAGCTTGCTGTTAATCAAACTAAATAAAAATATTTAAATAATAAACAATTTAACCCTAATCAGCTGTGCTTTGGCCATATTTGAAGCAAATAAATTGAATTTAATTTTTCTTGAAATATTATTACAAATTTTATTGGTCATGGGTATACCAAAAAAGTGTGCATGCCTCATGAATCTAACAGCAGAAGGTGTCCATAAAGACTCCGCACTACAGGTACATATAAAAATGTATGATCAGCATAACCAAGGGAATCTATATAGAATCCATATCCGTTTGTATGAACACATATATAACCTGTTTATAGGATAGGATATATCGGTCCAAATTGACTCTTAATATAATAAATATATCTTAAGCAAGTCTGGTACTTATTTGTGCTATGAAGTATTATGTACTATAATTTATTCATTATTATATTTATGCGACGATAGCAGTGATTGCTGATTAGATATTGACAATAAAAGTGATTTAAAATCATGAAATCATTGCAGTGATATTGGAGTCGATAACATTTATTGATTCAAACAAAGAGCTGCTTCGAAGCTCTCATTATTTATGAATCAGTTATATATTTGGTACTTTATGAATGTTTGTTCGTAGATCCTCTAAGCCATATTAGCTTTCCAATAATGTATTTAAACTAACGCTGCAATATTTGATAGAGCGCATCTGTTTAGCTTCTATGTGTTACAAGTTGATGGAGCAAGTCTGTAGAATCCTTTTGTGAAGTGCAGCAAAAAGTGTTGACGATGTGTGTGTGTGTTAGACTGCGCGTAATGGCTGACGCTCTTTTGTTTGCTGCTGCTGTTTATGTTGCAGTCTACAAATTGACTTCACTTTTAGTTGCCGATGCCTTGTACGCACACACTCACACACACACACACACACACACACACACACGCAGAGTAAACATTTGCTTGTTAATATGCCGACATAGGCATAATACAAGTATAAAGCAATAAGTAGCTTACAAGTCAGCTGCGCTAAACGACCGCCAATTCCAATATTTCTTCAATATACAAGTATCTCTTTCTTTCTGCCCTGCTTTATCCTATTCCACTTCTATATCTTCTGCAGAACTACAACAATATCAACAACAACAACAACAGCAACAGCAGGCGAGCAAACATCAAGCGAACGGCACTGTTCTAACAGGTATTCAGGCGCATCATATACGTGCGCCACGCCCACCCCTACGCACCGCCTCTTCCAGCACCAGCTCCACGGGCATGGGTCCCGTCAATGGGAACATGCTGCTCGATCAGACGCCCTCGGGTGGCAGCAGTAGCAGCGGCGTCAGCAGTGCCCCATCCTCATCGAAGGGTCACACACATGCGCATGCGCACGGACACAGCGCGACGTCCTCCTCAGCAGCGGCGGCGGCGCAACAACAACAAGTGCCACAGGCGGCGATAGATGAGATGCGCGTCTGATAGGTATCGGTCTTTGAGTTGGACTTATAGTCGTCAACGGGGTAAGTCTAAAGTTGAATTATATTACTGTTGCCATGGATATATAGTTTTGGGGTACACTTTTAAATAATAACTTTACAAGCCTTAGCTTATAAAGGTTAAAATAAGTTTAAAGACAAACATTTAGTTTTTTTTAAAAAGGTCAAGAAATATGCCTGTTACCCACATTTGGGTAAATTGCATTTAAAGTTGCAACTAATTAAAAACTGCTTCATGTGCAAAATAAATTGCAAAAATAAAATAAAACAAGTATAACAACATCAATATATTCATTTCAATTATATTATGTATAGGTTATGTCAAAACAAGGGTTTTTTTTTAAATCTTTAGCTTAACCATTTTTAAACATTCAGCGAACCGAGAGTCTACTCAAGGAACTGAAACTATCTATGCCAGCCATGTCAGGCCCCAAAGCAAAGGTTCGAATTGGAACTGTGTAGAACGAGTAGTTTTTTTTTTAATTACTTGTAAACAGCATTTACATCAAACATACCTTGAAAACCTTTGCATTTGTTGGCGTTTTTAAAGACAGCTCGACCATTTATTTATTTTATTTTCTAATGCACTAAAACTATTATAAGTAATTTTTTTTTGCAAATATGCACTGCATAGTTTAATTAAAAGTCGAGCTGAAGAGATCAGATATGCCATCATCAAGCATTCTTGCAAGCTTTCTTTAAAGCTATTATCAGTCAGTGATTCTTCACCTTTGATTTTTAATTATATTTTATTATTTAAGTATTTTAATTTTAATTTATTTTCTTCTATCTTTTATTGCTATTTTGTTTTTCATCTCCACTTCTTTTTTGATAGGTCTAATAACGTATCTGACTATTCTCTGCTGTGAATCGGGGCATAGCTGGCCGTTTGGCAAATAAAATTCCCCCACCGTGTCGGATTCGTTATTAGATATTTTTGTCATTTTTATAGGCTTTTTTATTTCTTGAGTTTTACTTAGTTTAAGTTATCTATTGTATTGTATTGATTTTTTATTGTTTGTCGATGGAAATAAATAAATAAAATAAGATATTTTATCGAATCTAAAACTATGCACATATCCCAATTTTAATAATTTGAATGTAAAATATAATACTTATCGAATTACTTAAGTTACGCAAAGCTAATGTGTAATTTAGCATTTTGCATTAGCATTTTTAAAAATAACTTATTTTCGATCTTCTTGGCGTTTTTTCTTTCCTTGCTCCATTTTCAGTTCATGCCGATGTCTTTTCATACCTGGTACGACCCGGCTTAAGTTCTCCGCAAGTTTCGGCTCCATCTCCATTGTGTGGTCTGAGGTTTTTTTTGCAACTGTACGGACAATTGGCAGCTCTCTCCTACATGTCCCACATTTAGAATGTTCCTTTTTAATGTCATTTCTTATAAAAAGTAGTCTCAGGCCATCGTCGATTTTCTTCACAGCTCGTTTCATTATTTTTTCTCGAAACCCGCGACCCTCAGACAGATTCTGTTCAGTCGAGGTATTTTGTTCACACTTTACTTCTCCTGCGCTTTCATTTCTGATGGCAGAAGTACTTATTTGTGTGTCAGAATCAGCGGTTTCCGTTTCAGTCAGTTGGCTTAAATTTTCCTTAATTGTGCGCGTCTCATTGCAATTGCTTGTTTCTTTACCGTCTGTTTGAGTATCTGCATCTTTTTTCTCCACCGGCTCCTTTTTTATCTGTTTCTCATCTTTCTGAATCGTGTCGCCGTCTCCACCATCCTGCTTTTTGTCTTCCGAGGTCGGCTTCGAATCATCATCATCGTCATCATCTTCAGACTCCGTTTCGCACCAATAATTTAATGGATTCCTTTGAAAATCATAAGCTAGTTGTCCGCATTTATCAATCTGTCCGTATTCATATAGATAATATTTTCCCTTCAGCTCACGTATAATGCCGAAACGCAGGCCAACGTCCAAGGCTTTGCGCAACTGCTGTATGCAATAATTGTGGCGCCATCTGCAGTTGATTGTTGTCAAAACCAAATCGACTATATCCTTCCAATCTGTTGGCGGATCCAATTTCTCTAGCGCTTTTGTTAAATGTAAAGCATATGTAGCCCTAGCCATTATGTGGTTGAAAATTTTCTATCGAATAAACTGTGCCCCAAACGCAATTTTATTTCATGTGTCGAAATAATGTAGACTCGAAATTTTTCAATCGAAATATAATCCAAAACTAACTAGATGCTCAAAACCAAACCAATCTGACAAATTCCTAAAAGCTTAGCATTAAAATGTTATTTCTTTTGTGATTTATTAAAAACAAAAAATGCATTTATTTTAAATCAGATGAGTATTATTCTTAGCACAGTATCTCCAGTATACTCCCGTACTAAAAAGTTGAAATACTAATTATAAGTAGCAAGTAGAAGGAGGCAGGGCGAACCGCACTTTGCTCGTTTTCCCGCTATTCGACTGAATTAATCCCGAAATCTCTTGAGGCATAACATCTTGGGACACCAAGCTTTCATGTAAAATTGTCTTTATTAAAAACAATTTAAAACCCCATTACGATCTGTTCTTTGTATCAGCTGTTGATCACTATAAGTTTAGTTTTCATCAAATCAATAGTTATGAGTTTTTTTTTTAATATCTCACAATAATTTAAAGTTTTATTAAAATTTGTGAATTTCTTATACCTGCCATAGGAATAATTGTTACAACAAGCTTTGTTTTGAAAGACTATAATGGGGAAAAGGTGGGTATAAGGTATATAGGATTCGGGCTGACACCGCTTTAACGTTCCAACAATTTTGTTGCTATAAATAAATTTCTTTCTTTTTCTCCAAACAAGAAAGTTCGTTAAAAAAAAGGGACATTTGTAAACAATGTGTGTTGGGTTGCTGCCTTAAGGCAACTGCCACACATTAAAAGCCAATATTTTGTCAACCTCGCTATTTTTTGTATACTCCATAAAAACGAAGTCAAACAAAACAAATTTTTAAAATGCATGCTGAAAATAAATATAACGAAAAAAAAACATAATTATTTTCAAAACAAAGCCCCAATTGCGCTATTAATTTGACAGTAACTATAAAAAGGCATTTTCACATTCCATTTGCACGTTCACCCATTTTCCCACACCTTATGCCCATGGCTATGACAAAAATGTACAACCCTTTACCGAAAATGTGAAAAAAGAATAAGAAGAAGAAATGATGACAACACGGGAAAATATGGGCGTTGCGCTCGCTGATCAAAAATAACAAACGGCATGTCAAACATGTGGCAGCAAAAAAATGTTGCCTCTTTATTTCATAGAAAAAATTCTCCGCGTTGAGCTTTCTGTGTGTGTGTGTGTTGTGTGTGTGTGCGTGTGCAGGTAAAGGTAAACTTGATTGTGGCAGCAACTGACATAGAAAAATGTGCGGCAACTGCTGCTGTGCAAGTCACATAATAGAGTCATAAAAATATATATGTAGTATATCAAGTAAGAGAGCGCATATATGTTGTTAATTTTGTACAAATTTCAATTGTTCTCAAACAAAAGAAATCTTTCGAGCAATATATATCCTTATGGTACTAATAATGGCATAATCCAGGTCTACAATCAAATTCAAAAAAAAAATATATATACAAAATATTTAAATTAGTTTGAGTAGAGTTAATATATCTATTTGATATTTAACAATAATTCAAATTCAGCCCACAAATTTAAATTTAAAAAAAAAAATGTCCAAGCAAGGAAAGTTTCATGTTTAAACTTTGTTAATATATTAGTTTAAAAAGAAATGCAATACTCTGCCCTCTTCTGCAGCAGCATTCTTATCATTTTTAATTTAAAATTAAGAATTCGATTCGACTTCTCCACCCGATCAGCCTATTTCATAACAGTTTGCCAAAATAGATCACAATTTAATTTCGTCATAAATATCTATATGAAAATACATCACGAAAGGAAGATATAGCATAATCGTTGTCTTTATTTTATCATATGTTAAAATTCCTATTGTTCATGAACTAAACCATCTCCAATAGATCAGTATTTATAAGTAAATTATAAATTTCTTCTTTTTCCTTAAATACTGTCTATAATAGACATTCTGTTTAAAATCAAAACTAAGCTGACGGCAGCTCCCTCATAGACTAGTTCAAAGTAACTAAGCAGGCGGTTAAAGACTCAGTCAAATATGTTTCAAAGCAGCATTTTGTATATATAAAACATACCTACATATGTATATAGTTTAGGGTATACACATGTAACAAAAAAGAAAACATAAAGACTGTTCATTTTCAACTAAAAATTCCTATTCCTACTCTTTTCAAATGTTGAGCATAATTTAAATTCGTTTTTTAATTTAAGAAGCATTTAAATTTAAAGTTAAAGCAATAAATAATAAATTAAACACAATAAATAATGAAACATATTTCATAAAAGATAGACTATGCTCCATTTGGAGAAGAGTGCTGCAATGGCCGCTGCGACCAAGAAGGACCGCCTCTGTTGTCCACTTACAGCCACTTTGCTTGAGCATGAGGGTCGCGAATGTATATGTCTGTGTGTGTGTGTGTGTGTGTGTGTCAGTGTGTATGTGTATAACTGTGGCGGGCAAGCCATTATTTCACCTGGCATACAATTAAATTTGCATTTCTTTCCCTTTTACTTTGCACGCTTGCACGCAGTCATGGCGAACACAGCATCTCACCTTCATGACTCTTAGCTGATTAACATTTGCGCGCCCCCTTTCGGTTCTCCCCCCCCCTCCCCCCACCCATCCCATCCTTCATCTGAGTTCAGCTAGCCTTGCCCCATCCTTAACGTTGGTATGGGAAATGCAATTTTCCTACTAAAGTGAAAAGCTACAGCAACACAAAAAAATGAAAAAACAACAACGAGCAGAAAGTGGCAACATTTATGTAAATTTGCACACTTACATACATATGTATGCGTGTATGTGTGTGCCTTTGCTTATGTAGTGGGTGTGCCGAAGTGTATATGTGTTAAAAGCGCAATAAA